TTCCTGCTTTTACCAGCTAGAGGTAACATTTTCCCCCAGCCTTCACTCTTCTAAGTTGGAATATCCCTTAATAATAATTATTAGTTTTAGAGTTCCCTGTCTACTGCATTAAGGCCGATCTCTTTTTATTTATGGCCCTCTAATGATCCAGAATATTTTGCCCTGCTCATCATCTTTCCAGCCAGAAAAAAAAAAGCCATCATCACTTCCACTCCCCACAAACATACCAAAAGAACAAAATTTTAAAAATCCACAAATCCCCATCCTGCTGCACAAAATACAAGAATTTTATTATTCTTAAACGTTCTTCAGCCGTGCTGCACGGGAACAAACCCATATACACCTGGGCTCCCACATCTGTGATTTTCGGCTCCCTTTTTCAACATCTGTGATGTCAATATTGATATCGGCCTCCATCGGGTAAGGTGAAAAAAATACTCTTCTCACCCTCTCCCCGCAAAATTCCCATTTCGTTTCCAAATTCACTCGTGCCTCATAAAGTCGAACCTTTAAATGTCCCTTTGGCGATCCAGGACCATTTTTCACATTAGCTTTTCTGTGCCTAGACTGAAAAGTCTGTCCCCTCCGTCTTCCCTCAAAAACAAACTCTATTTCTTAAGACTCTTCCCTGTTGCATAAAGTAGCTCCTTTTATGTGTCTTGAAGGATTTCAGACTGAGGAAATCCTTTACCTCAGGATTCACCTTTCCAGGTCCATCAATGCCCCGACTCGTTCCCGCAAACACCCCCCATCCCCCATCTCCTCGCAGCCGGACCCCGCAGACCCTTCTTTTTAATGGGTCTCGTTGGCGCCCTGAAGCCATCTGCTCCACAACCCTCAGCTGCCCCGGCAGGCCACAGAAGCCCCGAGCGGTGGCGGCGGCCGGGCACCTACCAGTCGGTGTGCGGCTCGTCGACGACGAGCAGAACCTTGGCCTTCCTGGCAGCGGCGGGCGCGGGCGCGGGCCCCCCCACCAGGCCAGCCGAGGCGGCCGTCTGCTTCACGGCTTGGGA